AGGGCATTATGCGATTGTGGAAACTTACACACAAAGGCGTTAAGAAGCACATTCTCATCTTCTCTCTTTAGCCTTCTCTCTCCCTCTCTCTCTACTTGCCTCTATTCATAAATCAATTATACATATCTAAATCATGTTTTCATGAAATCGTTATGTCTAATTTAACACAATTTCTAGCTTATAGACTATCTTATAGTCGGATAAGCATTTTCTTATTTGTTTTCATTTCAGTTTGTACTGGGAATGAAAATGATTTTCTGCAAAATTGAGTTCAATTTGATTGTACTTGAGTATTCCAGTTGCGTGTCGACATGTTTTTGCTTTTAGTCAGCTCTCGATCTACTGTTTGTGTTTTGGGTTAGACTGCGACATTTAAGCTATCAATTGAAAAGTATTAAATTGCTTTAGTACACTAGCTTTTTTAGCTCTTTTTTTCTGTCAACAAATATGAACGATTCCTAGAGAGTGTCACACTTTGTTGTAGTCTATGTAACCCCTTAGTTGATTGGGTTGCTCAGGTGGATAGCATTGGTTATGCTTAGATTATACTGGCTGACTGACTGATTCCCTCTAAATAGGAACGAGAATTGGCTGCAGCGCAATGAAAAGAAACCTTCTAATGAACACAAATTAGTTTGACCTTCAGATGACAAACACACACACACAGCTAATTTGCTTACATTTATTTACGCTTGAATAGAAAGCTAAAATTGGCTTCAAGTTCAGATTTGCTTACACCATAGATACAAAATATTTTACGATTTATTTTCAATTTCTCATTTATCAAACTCAACTTGGGGCAAAAATAAATTTGACAGCAAATAGAGGAAACGCGACTAGTATATTTTACTTCAATTAAGGAGCCGTCAGCACGAGTTCTAGTCCGACATGGGATACAAGTAGCTTACAATCTAAACACTTAATGCGACTTAAGGCCTCGTGTGGCACAAAGTTAGCTGTTTTTTTATTTTATTTTATTTTAGTGCCAACTCATAAAGATTTCTATTACACATCCAGTTCAAATAATGTGCACATAAATCTTAGGCATTGCTTTCCGTTCGGGCGCTGATTTAGTTAAAATGTGGCCGCCTTTTAGGCGGCCCTGATTGCTTAATCATGTTGTGTGTGTGTGTCTGTGTATGTGTGCGCGTGTGTGACGGAAATGGCTAAATTGAAAAACGCCACTGGAGCTGATGACCAACAGTGAACGGTGAGCGGTGAGCGGTCCGAGCTCAAAATAGCTGGCAATAGGTCAGATGATGCCATGACAACAAAGCCTCCTGCTGCTGCTGCTACGTTTGTTGGCCATGGCTCAGCTGTGCCAACAAATAATGCTTTCATACTACTACCGCGGGGTAGCCGTGGATGGAACTTGTATTGAGCAAGGCGCCAATAATGACACCCGCCCACAAATGGAAGATGATGAATGAACAATATTGTTGCCTTCGGGTGTCAAACTCTCACCCCATTCGATTGTGTAGAGCATCTGTCAGTTGGAGCAGCATTTAAATGTTTGGCATTTCATTATCGTATTAATCAGTGGCCGTGTTGCCATTAACATAAAACTGTCGTTAACTAAAAGTAATTAATTTTCAGGCTACTCGCCTTTATATTGCGCGACAACTGTAGAAAATAACTGGGGCACAAAAATTTATGACGTGCCCCAACTTTTATTATAAGGGTCTATTAAGAGTTCAAGTTTTATACGTCTAAGATTCATCAGATACCGAATTTGAATAGGAAAAACTTTCTTTGACAATGGACGATAAATGTGCCTAAGGAGAGAGTATTAAGTTCAGATTTAGTTTTTGCATTAGCTTCCATTATTTATAATTTGCAGCAATTGCTTTAAGTTTTGGCTCAAGTGTCGTGAATGAAATTAGTCCAAATAATCTAATAAATGAATGATAATAAATGCAATATAGCCCGAGGGTAACATGTCACACGCGACACGTTATCAAGTGGCCAGGTAACCAGGTAACGCAATTAACGCGCTAATCCTTAGCATGCGGCATATATGTACATATATAACGGATGTCTGTATGATGTGTAGCAGACAGTTGGGCTGTGATAAGTTTGGTGTGGGCCACTCTTGCTAACCGTAATAGATACGAGCAATCTCTTGTTCGCTCTCTCGTTCCATATTCGCTATTACAGGCTGTCCATCAATCTTGGCTGGCCTTGATGTTGCTTTCGTTTGAGTACTCCATGATTTGGTGCACGCGCCTTGGCTCCGATTGCTTTGATTCTTCACGTAAATGCAGCAAGCAAAATGTTGATGTTGATGCTGTTGTTGCTGTTGCTGTTGATGTTTCTCTTGCTGCCGGCCTTTTGCGTCTGCATCTGTTGCCGCGTAATGAGCTCCTTGAAAACTTATCTTATTTCCGAGCCGAGGCACAGGCGTCTCTTTGAGTGTGTACCCAAAGATACCTGTGTTTGTCATTTCTTTTAACTAAATTAAATTTAGCTGTTGCTCTAGAACTTTATTAACTGAGTCGCATGCCAGCCAGTCAGTCAGTCAGTCAGTCTGCTCGTCTTCCACCCACGCACTGCCACTTCATTCCTTCATTATCATCTGCTGGCATTTGATTATGTGCCACTTTGTATGAGTCGAGACGACTCGACGACTTGCCGACTCGCCGACACGACAGCGGAGCGTGACACGAACACTCACAGCTCAGCTAAACGTGACTAGCACAACTCAAGTTCAGGTTTCACCGTTAAGTTTGCTTTTCACTGAAGTCGAAATAGGAGCGGCGCACAAATACCTGAGCACAAATATATGTGAAGTCAGTTTTGAAGCAAAAATACAAAGTAAACGTACACCTTGAGAACAACCTTGGCGCATTTAAAGTGATATTGATATTTATAGATTAGTTCAGCAAGCCATTATGCGTTGTATTTGTGTTTAAGCTCAAATATAATAAGATATGAGAAAGCTAACAGTTCTTATTCATAATAAGAAGGTGAGAAATTGTCTTGAGGGAAGTTTTTCTTTTGGAAATTGTCAGTATTATTAGTTGATTATTGCTTGAAAAGGTTAATGCAATTTTAGATTTATTTAATTTGTTTTTCAATGCAATTCAAGTTCAGATGACTGAAGTAGAGTAGCTGCAAAGTCTTAATAGTTGATCATAATTTTGTTTTTATTCATTCATCTGCCTCGTGACACGTTTCCATCTTAAGGAAGTCAGAAACTCAAATACATGGACGGGAAAGGTCCGTTTACTTTTGCTTTTTGGTTAGTTTTATTTTGGCTTGTGCGGCTTTTGCAGCTCTGCTTTGCAAATTTCACTTGCTAATGCTTTTGATTACTTTTAATTACAATTTGGCTGCTAGGCGACGTTGACCAACGTTTGGGGCACTCCAAACTTTGGTTATGTTTATCAAAGTTTTGTGCAGTCAGCTGTTACATGAGCTGCGTCTTCAAAACGCGTCGCAATATCTCTGTTTTTTTTTGCCTTTTTTTTGGTCTTTAAGCTTCCTCCTTGTTTGTTGCCTTTTCATAAGTTTGGCCATCAAGCGACTTAATTGGCGCTTAATGCATAAGCCTGCCCATTTTCCCATTTCCCAAATAAAGCGCGCGGCCTGGGCGCCTACCTTATCAACTCCGTGCATGTCCATCACTCGGGTTTACAGTCACTCAGATTTATTCGTGCCTGAAAGCATGCAACAGTATTTAACTGTATGCAAAGCGGCTGCGACTGTGTGAAAGACAACGGCTGCAGCCAATTAATGCAGACTTTGCCGCACTCAACATATATATATGTCATATGGCGCCTGCTTTTCGGCTGCCACCTTACTGATTATAATATATTGAGCTGCACTAACGACAATAATTGCGCTAGGGCTCAGCAAGCCGCATTGGCGCATTCTTCTGCCGCAAGCGTCCGCATGAGGCTAACCAATTAAAAAAACTATTTAAATGTTATTAAACAATTATGATGTTTATAAGCGCTGTCGTGTCATATTTTCAGCTCAAACAGCCACAACTTCAACTTTGTGAAAACTCACACGCCAACGAATGTCTCTGAGTGTCAAGATAAGAACCCTTCAAGCTCGTTGTATACACTACGGTGATGAGTGCCGACATATGATATATTCAAATGTAAATAAATTAAAGCAATTGTAATCAAGTAAATCTATAAATTGCGATAAATCTGCAAACATTTATTATGCTATTTATTTATTTTCTATTTTGATTTTATTCAAAGGGCTGCAAAAGCATGAATAGCACAAGCTTTAGTACTTAGATGCCATAGATAATATATGCTGCTTTTTCAATAATAATTAATTAAGGAAAAGGTTTTCAAAATTTAAATAAAATTTTTAAAAAAGTCCAAAGCTTATATAAATTGAATTTTCTCATATTTGTTATTATTTATTTATATTAATTATTCCAAATAAATTTTGCAAATAATCAATATTCATTTAATTTGCGCTCTTCAAATGTGATTTATTGACATGATAATCAAACACGTAATTAATTACATAATAATTATTGACACATTCGACAAATACAGTCAATATTGACAAACACTTTAGTTGCGGCAGTGTATGAAAATATGCTGCAGAAATCACTTTGGGAATTCTTTAGCGTGTCCCGCGAACACAATTTTACACTGGCCAGCTAGACACGAGAAGAACAACAATAAGAACAACAGCAACATTAAAAATGCGACTCGTCTTTCTCATGAGTGCATAATTAAAATGATAGCGACTGGCGACGTCGCGCTTGGAGTTCGCGTTCTGTTTAATGATAATGCGAGAAGGGCGCCTCAGGTAGCAGGTAGGTACTGCAACGAAAGAGACTGAACGCGAGAGATGGAGAGAGCGAAGGTAGTGAGAGAGAGAGAGCGACTGAGCCAGGCACTGATCGCATCGCATCGCACTCTTTCTTAGTCTCTCGGTGTTCAACCTGTTGCTTTCAATCGAGTCTTTCAATCGAGCGAGCGCCGTTAAATCTCGGCAAACGTCTCGCAGCTCAGTCAACGAACGCGTCTCGAGCTAAGCGGACGTCGCCACGCAGTCGCTCTGTGCAACGGTGCGTGAGAATGTATGTGTGTGTGTCTTAAGATAGCTAGAGAAAGAGAGAGCGAGCGGGAGAGAACGACTGTGAATGCGTGCCGGTTTAAGATTTGTATATTTCTACCTGTGCCCGCAGAAATTGTATATCTTATTGATATGATCCCCGATTCGACTGATATTAAAGGCATACAAGCACATAAGCTACAAAAGTATCTAGCAGATACCACTCGCCGCCTGAACGAAGGCATGCTAAGCAGCAGCGAAAGACGCGACATTAACCTCTAAGCAACGAACTCAAGCAAAACAAAACAAACAAAAAAAATCGAATTGAAGTTTTAAGATAAAAGAAAAAATTTCTGTGTGCCAAGCAGAAGATAACAAAATTGGCAAAATAAATATTAAAAACTTTGCCAAAAATATTATTAACCCCACGAGGCGAGGCTATAAAGCGCCCAACGAATACCACAGCGAATACACGAGCTGCCGCAGCCACAAGATACAAAAAAGTATCTCAATAACAAAAGGTAAAATGGAACAGCTAGAGCAACGATTGCTCTACGTGCACAATTGCGCAATTATTATAGTTCTTTTTTTCGTTGTTACTTTGCTATTATTTTTTTTTACCTTTACCTTTGCTTTAGTTTTATTTTCTTCACCTTATTTGCTTCACATACCTGGCAGAGAGCCGAGTGTTTGCTTGAAGAAATGCGCCATTCGGTTATGTTAACGGTTGGACTGTAAATTTAATTAAGGCTCCAATGCGAACTTTGAGATACAAATATATCCAGTTGCAAACAAAGGCGCAACAGCGTCACAGAAAGGCGTAGAAGCCAGCTGCCTGCCCCGTTTGCATTTGTATCTTTCGACTGTAGCTGTGTAATCTGTGTTTCTGTGTAGATATTTTTGTCTTTGGCTGTTTGGCTTGTCGAAAGCGCATTACATACACAGCTCACGCATTTCACGAATGCACCCACTCCACTGGAGTCCAGGGAGCCGCCGCGTTCGCATTTCTTTCGCTGCGTAGCTGAATGCGTATACCTTGTATATAATATGTATCTGCTTTGGGCGATTGTTACTGTTGTTGCTGGTTGTTGCTTTTAACTTGACTGTGTTTACTTTTTGCTTGTCGAGCTTGGCATACCATAAATTCAGCTTAGTTCTTATGCCGCACATCGACGCACGTCTCAAATGCCTTTTGTTTGTGTTTTTGCCGCCGACGCGGCTTTAAAACTTCTATACCCAGTGCCAAATTGCAGTCGTTAGCCGCATATGCAAACCACATTTGATGAGTCCATCAAGTTGAATGAATTTGCGATTTGGCGATCGAGATTCACAATGTTGTTGTTGCTGTAGCTGTTGCTCGTATTCTTGGTACTGAGCTCAGCACAGTAGACAGAATAGTAACAACAGACCAAGGCATGACTAATGGAGCGCTGCGTCAACAGCAACACCAACAGCAACAGCAACGGCAATAGCGACAGCAACAAACTGAACAACAACAAATGTATCTGTTAAGTAAAGTGTCTTGTAGGTGTGAGTGGCGTTTGAGCCAACAAAGCGTCCACATTTTTCATTTGTGAATGTCGTCGTTGCTTTCTGTCTAAATAGCTCACAGATTGCCCTCGCATACACAACGGCTATTTGTACGTACACATATGTGTGTACCTACTTTAATATACATTTGTAGCTGTGGTGCGTCTCATATTGTGCGGCTCAAATTTAATTAGCATATTGCTGCACATTCGTAACTTTAGACCTTGGCCCGCAGCAAGGCGAAGAGACAGCACTCGTCGAAGGTGGCTCTACTTACTTGAAGATCAATGACATGAGCTGAAAATGAGACCACAAAATGTAATTTCGCGGCTGGTTTGAATACTATGTGAATTCGCATTAAATATATATATTGACAGAGCTGACAGATTCATTTTCTATCTTTCTTATTTCTCAGATTTAAAGCTTAGGCTTAAAAGCTGCAGCAGCTTTTGTGACTTGAATAACAAACAAATCTTTTTTCTTTATGAATAAGGAATTATTTGTTTCATATATGACTTTGTTTTATAAAGTCATATTATAAAAAATAAAAGAGAAAGTAATTTATGAATTAATAATAATTATTTTACGTCTGCTGCCTTGAGAAGTTTCATAAGAGGTTTACTCAAAATGAATGCCAATTCAAGTTAAGCTTTACTTCTCTGGTTAATTAGCGACTTGTAGCAAACATTCACAGACTTAAAATAATGCTCAATGAACACTTTAGGCAAGTGTCATTGTTGCTAGGGTTCTTTGCGGTTGGTAAGTCAAACATACTTAGCAGATAAGGCCAAATCGTAGCTTATCAGATGAGCACAGTAGGTGTACTATATTTATGGGCACTAGATTCAAATATTTGGGCATTATGTCATGACTGGGTCGTGTTAGCACTTAGATAAGTGTTTAGTAAAAATATATTTGAGTGCATTGACCATAGGCATCACGTACCATTTAAATGGGTCACAGGCTGGTTACAGGAGCGATTCGTTTTAAAATGAACAAGTGGAAAGACAAAAATTAACAAAACATTTGACTGGCAGTAGATGAGTTCATTAATCATTTATGCATATTCATGCAGCTGAACGTTTGCTGCTGTGGCGCTGTGGTGCTGTGGCTTTTGGCCGGCCACGCCCACCGGGCTAAAGGAACGCCTTGATGTTTTTGCTTGGTTAACACATTTATCATTACCATTTTCAGCAGCTTTCCTTTATTCTGAGTTATTTGCTTTTGCTCTGACGTTTTTCTATTTCCGTTAAATAAATAACTCGAGCTGGGCTTGCTTCTGCTTTTCGCCAGCGAAATATGCGTATGCGTAATTTATTATAATTAAAGCATGAAGTACTGACAGTTATTAACTTTAATAACGTTATTTTCCCCCCTTTTTGATGGAGCCATTTGAATCAGATGATGAAAAAACAGCTGCCACAGCAACAGACGGAATGCTAAGGTATTGCCAAAAAGATACTTCTAGGTGGCTGGGATAGGCATCACGCCCAGTTAGTTAGAAATTGGGCAGTTGGCAAAATCTCTAATCAAGCCAAATGCAAATTAGGTTAACTGTTGTTTAACGACGGCACGAGAGAAGTCGAGAGACACATCAAACAGTCAACTAAGAACTCTGCGGAGAGATAAACGAGATGAGATACCGCAATAAAACTCAAACCGATGAAAGCTCAGCGAATGCGAAAGGCAATAAAGCAGAAATTCAAGCCACTAATGAAGTTGCTGCGAGCACTAAACGACATTTCTGTCGGACAGTGTAGGAAGTGTTAATGATAATGATGGGCACGTCTCAACATTGTCGCCTCTTGGTACATTAACGCGTGTCATCGTGTGGGTGGCACTCAGTTGTGCTCGTTGTTGTTGTTGCCTTTTGTTACCCTCCCCCGGCATTTGGCATTTGGCATTAGCATAATTTCCATAGTTGGCTAGGGCTTGTTTAATGTTCATTACTGGCAGAAAGTATAGCCAATACATTTGATTAATTGACAAATTATGAAATTGCAAAAAATGTTAATTACTTTATGGTGTCGCTGTAGCTTTTGAACCAGAAACGAAGATTTTCCTTGCATGTGTGGAGTAGGGCGAAAAGCCAAATGATGCAATGATTATGTTGCAATTTGCACACCAATTTCCAAAGTCGCTTTTATGATGAGGTCGCATTTATATAAAAATCTATATATACTATATAAAATCTTCATTATTGTTGCAAAAACTATTTCATTTTGTTTAAAAATATTCGGGCTTAGGATAAACTAATAAATATTTACGGTATTCAGTGTCAAGTAATTATCAAGTTACAAGCTCTCTGCATCTGCGCTCATTCATGATATTCATTCTGAATTTACTCATTCGTTAAATAACGTAAATATTTTAATAAAATTTTATTAATTGCTTTGGCATTAATTGATTGAGAAGTTTGACTGAACTTCTGATATGCCCATTTCAATGCCAATTGTATTTGAGTAATTGATTCTAAAGAAAAATAAAGCTCTTTATAAATTATATCCGCTCTAGCCGCAAATCGTGATTCCAAACATATGCAAACTGCAATTAAAGTCAAATTATCGCGCTGCCTTTTACAAAGCAAACGCAAAAACAAACCCGAAATGGTTAAATCGTATTAAAAATCGCAATTGAAATAATACAAAAACCTGGCTAAAAGCGACGGCTGCTGTCAATAGCCGTTTTTGCTGGCTAACAAATTCAAAAGCGCCAAAAGCGTTGGGAAACTCAATTCGAGAATGTGACGGAAAAATATCTGTGAATAAGCAGCGAAAAAACGAGGCTGATTTTAATCAGTCGATGCTTTTTGCTTTTTTTCTTCTTGCCATCACAAGAGGGGAGAGAGGCGAAGGGTACTTGGGGGCTGAGAGTTGACAGCGATGAATCAGAAGGCGGTCAGCGGAAACGCAGCTGTAGCCGCTTTTTCAATTGAGAACTGAGAATCGAGAATTCCGAATATTGTTTGGAGTGTTTCTTGTTTTATTTTTATTTATTTTCGCACAGGCTGCGAAAAATTGTTACAGTTTTCAACTGGAACTCATATAAGTTGTTATTGTTCGCATTGTTTATTGTTGTTGTTATTGTTCGTGTTAAGCGGGGCATCAGCTGTGCCCAAGTGCTTGTTCACCAAAGCAATTGCTGCTGTCAGCTTTACAAGATTGCCCGCCTAACAAGCCATTCAATTTATTATTGTCTGCGTAGCTTAATGGACCTTTAAAATGACAACAATCAATGTATTTAATACCATAAATCAATAGCGCATATAGCAACTGCAGCTGAACAATCTAAAATAGAGTTCTTCTACACCTACGTATCTCCTATGGCAGCATTATAATTAAATAGTTTTATTTGTAAAGCTAGCCATAACAGGTCTGTAGTGTTAGAACGTTTTCTCTTTATTAATTTAAATATCTATCGTGCAACACGCCCCAGACTTTATTAGAGCTATTTATATACTAAAGCATGCATGTAAGTACGAGCTTAGCATTCAGTGAATTTCTAGGTTTCAATCGATCTATTCAGATACATATATATATATATATATATTTATAGCCAACACTTAAGCTCTCTCTTAAATGTAGCTCAGTTTTTAATTTTTTAACATTTAAAATGCTAATTTAATATCGTTTGAAATTTACTGCATTACAAAAATGTAAAACTCTCAAAGTTCTTAATCTCTTTGAAAGTTTTTCACTTAAAATTTTATCGAGATATTTATACACTGAATGACCCTGAGAAAGGATTAGCTTGAGTGTATGCAAATGTGTTTTACAGACAGAGGCTAGCAGCTGTGATCTCTTAATCTTGCTAAGAATCACATAATATATAGCCTACAAAGAGAAGGATAACTATAAAAACATCCAGTTTATTTATCTCTTATTGAAAGCTGCTCCCATTTCATTAGTATCCAGACGAATCGTCATGAGATTTTATAGGTACATAAATTTAATTTAATTTTTCTGCTCTCTGCCTTAATTTTTTCATTTAG